TATTTGTTCGTTTGTTTGGTTTTTGTTTTTGTTGTTTTTTTGTTTTTCTTGTTTTCTGAGATCTTTTCCTGTAATAGAAACAAAAAAACTGCAAATAATTTCAACAATTACGACGACACTCGGTTACACTTAAAGTACAAAACGGTACGGTCAACAACGAAGAAAAAAACATAAATAAAATGATTATATGTATAGGAAATGTACAGAGAATAGCAGTAACCTTGTCAGCTTTGTAATACTTTTCAAATATAAAAATTTCTAAAGCTTTGCCAAAAAAAAATTCAGGACGTGCATTGTTGCTGACCAAAGAAAGAAACAAAAAAAAAAAGGGAAAATCTAATAAACGATAACATTCAAGTGAACCTAAAATTATATACAATTTTTTGTTCTGACCAAAAATAAAAATAAAGGAGAAAAGTGAAGTCGGTGATAAAACATAACAAGAAAATTATGTGGTCAGCAAACAGCATTCTTCTTAAAAATTGTCAAGTTAAGCAAAAAAAAAATTTTTTTTTTCTTAAATATATCCAATCACTCAATTTTGCGCAATTAATAAATTGTAGCAGTTAAATGCTAAAACTTTGAAAAAAAAAAAAAAAAGAAAAAAGAAAACAGAAGAAAAGTTAGAGACAGAGCGTCATTCAGATACTCGTATCAAAGATTCCACAGATTGCCACAGGATCCTAATACAAGCACATCGTATTTACTACTAATAGCAGTCAAGGTTTCTCTTTTCAGCAGAATAATGGATCCAAGAATGAAGATCCATAAAGAAGTGTCAAGACAGCAAAAAAAAAAAATAGAGGATAAAAAACCAAAAAAAAAGTAGAAACAGGAAGAGAAGAAAAAAAAACAAGGATCACTGACAAAATTCTTATCCTCCAAATATATATACAGGTTTATTCTACAATTTTTAAAGCAATAACATTTAGCGCAATTAAACTACCACAATCCAGTTTTGTAGGATTTCTGCCAAAAACAAACTGTTCAGGTCTCGGAGTTGGTATACTCCGTAATTTCACCGAATCTTCTAAGCTCCAGTAATCTTTATGCCATTCACTGGTCTCTTTGTGCTGATATGGTAATAGTGATTCATAGAAGCGACGATAGATTCCTATATGAAAAAGTAAAAAAAAAAAAATACAGATAATTATATAACAACCTTATTTCTTCTCATTTTTTCTTCATCAACTCAAAAAATTTTTTGAAGCCAACACTAATACTGTAACGACATTAAAAGTCTAACTGAATACATCTTCTTTTTTTTTTTGTTACTTGTCATTACATTACTTAAAATAAAAAAATTTTAGAAGAATTATTAAAGCTTTTTGTATGCTGGCACAAAAAAAAAAGATTTTGATTTTTGTACAGTAATTCTACAACTATTCAACGTTCTAAATCAATAGTGACCAATACTGCCATCTTTATCATCAACAGCAGCAGTAATCTGCTGTAAATGCATTGCAATACCTCACTTAACATACCATCAAAAACTTTTTCCCCTGCTAACATCTCTACGGAAAATCTTATCAGGTTAATCAGGTTTTCTTAACATAATTTTGAAGAGATTTTTTACATAAAAAACTGAAGTAAAATAGAGCATTTTAAGGCATTGTCTGATGTTCCCTTAAAATATGAGATAACAAAAGAGTTAGATACATCAGTCCAGCTTAATTAAAAACAATAAAAAAAATCACCTTTAAATGACTTCAACTTCTGATCTCGACCACAGTTTTCTTGCGTAACTGCGGCAGCCAATGTTAGCGGCATATATAAGCCTGTGTTATTTTTCAGATTCAGAACTCGCAGATTATTATCTCGTAAAGACGCGTGAAGAGCACTTTTCATTCTGTACAATGAAGTATTTTTTTAGTTTAACAATTATTTTGTTAAATCACTTCATTTCAGCAGTTGATAGCCATTTTTCTTCATTTTGAAGACTATACAGAAATATAATGAAGACTCAACTTTGCTCAAAAAAAAGAGCATTTTCGTAAAACTAATCAATAAATTTAGGTAAGGCAAAGGTGAAATTTGGTTTACGAAGAATTGTTTGATAAAAGCTTTAAAGCAGACTTTTATTTAAAAGTTTTGTGTGTTATAAAAGTCTAAGATATTATTTACCTCATCTCAAGAGAATGATTACGATACTTTTCAGGCACTGACCACTGAACTTCGCAGGCGACACACATCAAACCCAGACTACCGTCAAACCACATTTTCATCTCATTCAGAACATCACCTAGCAGTTCATCTATACCCCCAACAGTCATTTCAAATATAGCGGTAACATATTTTGTTTCAATAACAGAGCTTTTCAGCAGTTCTTCAACGGAACTGCCTGTAGCACTTGCTGTTTCTGTGATAGTACTCCCTTTCACAGACGGTTGCTTTGGTAGTGTAATTGCCGGTGTTGGTATTTTAGCAATAATTTCTGCAACAGCACCGTGCTTGAGAGGTCGTAAGTGAAAGGATTCTGTCGGACGTCCACAATGGTAAGCAAGTGTTATTGACTGTGGAGATACAGCCGGTGATGCGGTCGACGATGAGCCACGATTCAAAAACGATGACAAATCTACGCTAGACAGATAACCACTCTCATGACCACTGGATTCTGCTAAGGATTCATCCATGGAAATATCTAGCTCTGTTACTGATTTATGTGGCCGACTGTACATTGAATGATCAGAAACATAATCAGGATCTTCGGAATCACCAGTATTTAAGTCGTCTGCAGAGCAATGTGTTTTAGGAAGCTGCTTACAACCTCCTTCACTGGTTTGTTTGCTACTTCGGGCAAACTGATTTGAAGGATTTAATGAGATCTCCTTGCCTCCTTCAGTGTTATTTTCCACAGCTTTTGATAAAAAATCTAATTTCCTTTGTGGCTGGGGAAGTTCACGTACTGTTTGAGCTAACATTGAGAAACTTTTCTGCAGATTATAGATTGAAGCAGCCAACCAGATATGAAAGAATGATATGTTCAACTGGCAGATCCCCAAAATTGTTGTAATTATTTTAAAATTATCCTGTGGATTGATATCAATACGTGGACCATAAATGGCAAGTTTCTGCTGTGAAGTTTTGACACTGGGCATCTTATGTTCACCTTTCCGACCAAGTTTTGGTGAATCTTCATCATGGTCACTGTCTGATGTTGAACCTTCAGTTTTCCGTCGTGCACGTATGGCTATGCGCCGACTCCTGCTACTAACACGACGAATTACTCTATCTGTCTCCTTAGCAGCATCTTCCATTCCGTCTGATGTTAATTAACAGTTCTACCACCTTGGACAACAACTTCTGAAAAAATTAAACAACTTTCCCGCGGAGTTCCAAAAGGCGCCGAATCATTTGTATTTGAATAAAAGGTACGAAAAAAACGAACGAAAAAACAAAAGAAAAAAAGGAAACAGTAGCAACTTATTTATAATCCGTGAAGATATTTAGTGCACTAGAAAACTCTAATAGCACAGTAGTCAAAAAAAGAAATAATTTTGCTATGAAATGAGCAAATCTACGCATTACTGTGTGTAATCGAAGATTACAAACGTTTGCACAAATGCTTTGATCTGATAACGACGATGACTACTTTTATTTTTTATTTTTTATTTTTTTTTTTGGCCTTTGTTAGAGTGTAATCTAAAACATCTTCAAAAAACGCTTTCTGCATAGAAACCTCAAAAATCATTTAAAAACTGTGATGCAAACAGTAAGGAGACCGTAAAAAGAGAAAAATTAACGAAAAAAAAATTATTGTTTTTCAGAGTTTAAACTCAACTGAATAGTCTTCCTATATAAAAGTTTTAAGACCCATTAATAGAAGAGTGGTAAATTTATACAGACCATACATTCCAAGAAGAAAAAACAACTTAATAAGAGAAAATTAGAAGAAAATTAACGATTTGTGTAACGTTTTGTTAAGTTTTTTTTTTCTTCTCCTATTCAAAATTACAATACCCTTAGTTTAAAAAAGCATTTAAAAATTTCAGTAAAAAAAACTTCTTATTCATCCTACTTTTTCCTGCATCAGTCCATACAGTATCAGCGAATGTAAACTAATCAATCAAAATCCAGGAAACTGAACAATGAAAGCTATTGTCAACAGCTTTTTTTTTTTTCGCTGATATCAGCGACAGTTAGAAACTCTATTTTGCTTTATTATTCTAACCTATGTTGGCATAAGAAGAATAAACATAGAGCAGAAAAGAAGTTTAGATAACAACCAAAATTAAACAATGACACATTTTTGGGTTGTATAAAGTTATCCATCCCCTTTCCCCTCCACCCACAACCATTTTTGAAAAATCAACGGAACTTTTGCTTGTTTACACTATGAGCAAATATATACTTTTTTTTCGTCTGTTAAGATGCAGAAATTTCATCAAAAAAGCAATTTGTTTTTTTTTT